ACAAGAATAAAAGAAATAGAGAAAAGGAGAGAACATGTTTGATTACAAAAATCAAACTCGAAATAAAAAATAAATAAATAAGGGTAGCCCGGTACACACCATAATTGATAGAATTGGTGGAGATGAATATCGTTTTAAGAAAAATGACATTGTAGCACGTCTTGAAACAATATTAATTATTTTTTATTTTGTCTTCCTCCATCACATTTACTAAATTTGCACCAACAACTAGGACTTTTTTGGTCCTAGGGCCCTTGTATATACATATATGCCCAACACAAGTTTGGAATGATTCACAAAGATAGGTGAATTGAAGCAAAAAAACCTCAAAAAAATTACTTTGCAAATTCAATATGTGGTTAAGATTTAGTCATATCATATTAAATTTGAATATATGAAATACTTAATTTTTGAAGTACCTTTTAAAATGAAAGTCACTATATATTACTAAAATATTTCATTAGAACTTGTTATTTTTATATGGTTTTCATTATTTTTTAAAAGAAAAATTACGTTTTAATATAAATAATTCAAAATAATTATGACATTATAAAAATTAGAAGTGAATTTGTGTACGGTGCAATGAAAAGCGCATGGGACAAATCTCATTTGTGCTTGTACAAAAGTGCAATTGCTTTGAATTGATTTCGTTGTAACATAATTTTTTTTATTTATTTAAAAATATGCTCAATAATGTGGGGAGAAGAACAGAGCTTGAACAACTTATAAAGTTTGAAAAACAGAGAGAGAGAGAGTAGCTCCCCTGCTTGTGCAACTGGCTGAGAGAGAGAGAGAGAGAGAGAGAGAGAGAGAGAGAGATTGCGATTGAAATTTCAGTAGGAGTTACCAAAAAATGCCTACACTCTAGTGGTTTACATTTGGGAAATCTTGTTTATAAGTAGGGTATGATGTCATTGCAACTTCGACTTTGTATACGCACGAAAAAGTAAGATATGGGACATCAGTAAGAGTTGCCAAAATTTGCCAAGACTCGTAAATACATTTTAGAATTCTTCTTTTCTAATTGGTTACGACTCCGTCACAACTTCCAGCATACTAAAATGAGCAATTCCTAAGACTTCTGCCCACTTTTCTAAATTTTTCTTTGATCGAATTAAGCTAACAATGCCTATAGTTTGAGATTCGTGTCACTTTAGTCCCTGACTTTTCATTTGCAACACATTTGACCCTAAATTTTGAATCTTATTTCAAATAAGAACAACTGAAAATATAATTTCTTAATTTTAAGGATAAAATCGTCAATTTGATAAAATATAAAATAATTTGATAAAAATAAACGTCATAAAAATATTTTATGACTAGCGCATTGGAGATGCTCTTATTAGTAAATTTATATAAGGGTATAATAGAACTAAAATTTTAAAATTTTAGTTAGGTGTACTAAATTTCTATTTGGTACAAATAAGATCACCCTTAGCCTCACTCAGGCTAGCCCCAAAAACTAAAAAAAGATGGGCCGATCCAATTATGATATATAAGCTGGGCTACCCAAAAAAGGCTGGCCTGATATATGGAGTTGCTTATAATTTTTTCTATTTTGAAAATTTGTGTTAAATTGTTTAGCCTATTTTTTATTTATAACTTATACAAGTCAGAAATAACTTAAATATGTTGACTATTTTTTACCAGGTAAAACTTAATTTGTTGCATTTTAATTAAAATAAGTGAGATATAGAATCATTTTTCACTTATTGAATTATTAAAAGTTAGTCAATCAGATGGCATTCCTCCTTCCTACTATAAAATGGCCTCAGCCCATGTTGCAATCAACTCATAGGGCTGCTTTCTGAACAGCTTTAGGAATCAGGTGGGCCGTTTGGCCTGCTCCTACACATTACGGTTGGCCTTTGTGCTTACCTATTTTTGGGAGCTCTTTTGGACCCATATAGTTTTGGGGAACATACTGATAAGTCCCATGTAACAAGTTCAAAACCCAATTAATCCCAAAACAAAATACTTGCACCAATTAGTCCAACACATTTTTAATTGTTACCAAAAAATCCTTTTTTTTTTTTTTAATTTATAGACACTGTTCACATCTTACTACCGTCGGACTTCCGTTTAACGGTCGCCGGAGACTCACCGGAATGTCTAGAATATTGCCGGAAAAAAAAAAAATTAAAAAACATGTTATGAAACTGTAAAATTTTACAGTTTTAAAGAATGTTATAAAACTACAAAATTTTACAGTTTTAAACCATGATTCATTCCAGCACCAAAAAAAAAATTTGAAACTGCAAAATTTTACAGTTTTCACCGCCTGTAACTAAAACTCGAAAACTGCTTGTTCAGAATTCGAAAATTTTCTCCATTAGAACAGAAAAACAGAAGTGTATAGCAGAGAGAGAAAAAAAAAAAAAAGAGATCGAAAGGGAAATACGGATGTCTAACCAAATCTGTGTAGATCTACTCAGATCTGATGTAGATCTTAGTAGATCTATATCAGATCTAAGTAGATCCATTCATCTTCTTCGTCGGAAAATATATATCTTCTTCGTCGGAAAATATATCATCTTCTTCGTCGGAGTTGATTTCAATGCTTGGTGGTTATCAATGAACCCCGATCAATGGAGAAAGATATGATCACCGGTGGTCCTCTTCCATGACAAACACGATGATAGAAAAATGTAGAAAAAAAAACGAGAGAGAAAGGGAAGCAAAAAGCAGAGAGAGAGGAAAGGACTTTTGGGTGTAGTGAAAAAGTTATGGGATTAAATGGAGATCACATGTTTCCCATGGGACCTATGGGTAATTTCCCCTATAGTTTTGGTGGGTTTTTGGGCCTGTTTGATTTGGTGGGCCTCTGGGCCTTCCAGTTTGTGAGCATCTGGGCTTGCCTATTTTGGTGGACCTCGAGCCCTGCCTAGCTGTTGTGTTTTTTTGTCGTGGTCCGCCTTGTTTTGGTGGGCTTGTTTAGTTTTCGTTGGCATCTGGGCCTGCCTAATTGGTGGGCTGTTTGGCCTGCTAGTTTTGGTAAGTCGTTGGCTTTGGTGTGCTGTTTGCCCTGCTTATTTTGGTGGGCCACTTTGCCTGCCTATTTTCGGTGGGCCGTTGGCCTGCCTATTTTCGGTGGGCTGTTGGCTTGGATTTCCGATTGAGTTTTATAATTGAATTGACATCCCTTTTAAGTGGTAATGTATTTTAATATAGTGTGACGGTGTTAACAAAAATTATTTTGAATCAAATTGACAGAGTTGAATCGGTAGACAAAACTAAAATTTCACAAATATATAAGATCAAGCAATTGTGGTTGAGTGTCTTTGCCTTCACAGTTTTAAGGACTTCTTTGAAAGTTCTAATGTAAAGAAACCAAGTGAAATAAATAGAAATTCGATTAATAACATTCAAACTTGTCACTTAACACCACAAAAAAATTAAAGTTTTAGAAACTAAAATTTAGGGATAAAATTATTTTTTGAGGACAAAATTCTTTTTTGAGGACAAAATATTTTTGTTACGAAAAGTATCGTTATATTTTTAGCAATGAAAATTGGACATTAATGATAAATTGTTATCTTTTTGGACCAAATTTTTTGTTTAAAAAAATAAACCATTTTGAGAACAAATTGTTTTGTCCCAAAAAATTTATTTATTAGCAACATTTTCAAAATTTTGTCGCTAAAAGCCTTGGCTTTTACTTTTCGGAATAACTTTTTAGTGACTATTTTCACGACGATAAAAATTAGTATCTAAACGTCTTTTGTAACAAAATTTTTATTTTTAGAGATCAAAACATTTGACCTCTAAAACTCTTATATGTTATAGCGTAAATATAAGAATTTTTTTAATGAATATATAAGAATTAAATTATAAGCAATCGACAGATTATAGAACTAGTTTCAAATTAACAGTTACTGTCACTGTCACTCCTAATTACATATATTGCACTACTAAATTTCACAAGTGGTACAAATGCGTTGAAGGATTGATGCCTTTCTTATATCTTCCTTTCAATACGAAACCGTCCAAAGGAGTTCTTCAAAAGCAATTTGCTCAGAGCAGTTTCATAGATAAGAAACTAACCCACAATCCCATGAATCCATCTACATTTCTTGTGCGAAGCCACACGTGTCCATTCTTCATTTGTCACCAACTACTCCGGCACAAATATCAATAACAAAATCAACATAATAATAATAAAAATATAAATGTGGGCATATATATTTGTAAAATGATAATTTTTTGTCTGAATTTGATAGACCACAATCAACATTCTACAATTAATTAGATTAGATTTAACTTATTAACATATCACAATTGATTAATATATATATATATATATATATTGTGTCAAACAGAGTGTAATCCCTGCAGATATGCTGTAGGTGCTAAGAGGCAATACTCTCTGGCAGATATGTTGGAGTAGCCTATCTACATATCTATTTTTATGAATCTAAAAAAAAAGAGTATAGTCCAAAATTGATTGATGGGGCATTACAATATATTTTTATTATATCTTCTGTTTTTATGAGAATGAAAAGACAATCTAAATGTTATATAATGATTGTAAGAAATGAGCTTAACTTAGAAAGTGTTTTTCTTTTGGTGTTTCTGTAAACAAATCCAACAAATAATATTTAAAAACAATCATTGTTTAATTTTAAAGTGAAAAACAACTTCTAAAAAATGTGAAACATAAAATATGTTTAGCTCAATTTTAGAATCTGCTTATTTAAAAACCTTAAAACTAATTTGGTGTCATGATTTTATATTTCTTGAAGACGAAAATAATTTTTAAAATATTTTTATATTGTTTATTTTGGTGAAATTACTTTTTATTATTATTTAAAAAAAAATCGAAATTGGAAATAAAATGAAAAGGATACTGAAATGGTCAAATGAAAAGATGCTACATCTAGACGGTTTTGGACAGTTTTGTTTGGTGGCGGTTATAACAAGGAAGGTAGGACCCACAGTAAGTTAATTTCTTGCTATAAAAGGCCCATTCAATTCACAGTTATTTTGCATGAAAAAAAACTATATAAATCAGCAGAAGTGTCTAAAGTTGTAGGGGTACCCTCCAATGGCTAGCCATATGCCTCCTACTTCATGGGTTCTCTTGATGAGCTTTGCATGTGCTGTGCTTATTAGTTGTAGTATTGGGCAGCCTGTGAATGATCAAAAGGCATGTATATATCTCTACTATGAGTTACTCTTCTATTTTAGTGGTCTTGTATTGGGATTTTTTTTTTTTTTAAAGAAAAAGAAACATTACTATTTTAGAGTAATATCATATCGTGATATGTGCCTTTGGTGTTTATAACCTAACTAATGAAATCTCATAAAAACAGATGAATTTGATTTTGTCTCTGACCGGGCTGTACCCTCTCAAAAAAATAATAATAATAATAATAAAAAAATTTAAAAAAACCCTCATATTTTATGAGTAATCCTTTATAAGCCTACAAAATATTTAAAAAAAAAAATAATATACATAAATGGATTTTTTAATTTTTTTTACTTCTAAATACAAAGACATGAGTTCTATATGTATTTATTAATATAGACTCCACTATCTTTGTATTTAGTAGTAAAAAAATCTTGTAAAAATTTTGTCTATATATAATATTACTCTAGCATTTTTCTAATAATTCAAATCCTCCCGTGCGACATCATCTCTCACCCAACCAAGTGTGTGAGGTTATCTCCACCATCACCCAATTAGCATGATGGGTTCATTTTCTCCTCTAGTCTTACTCTAATAATTTGATTTTACTTTAGCACATTAAATTATGATACAATTGACTAGTGATGATCAATTTGTGGTTGCAGACATACATTGTCTACATGGGTGATATTTCAAAGGATGACATTTCCACATCATCCTTGCACACTAGCATGCTAGAAGAAGTTGTGGGCAGGTCAGCTTACACTTTTTGCATAAACTTCAACCTAAATCATGTAGTAATGATAATAGTACATGGAAACACACTCATCACTCTCTCTGTGTTTGGGTGTGCAACTGAGTGTGTTTGTGGCACCGTTCTCAAATTATAAGGTGGTATTTTTGTCTAAAATAAAATTAACAAAAAGTAACATTGTTTTTTTTTTTTTTTTTGGTGAATAAGTCATAAAATAAAACAAAAAAATTTACAAGAATACAAGGGGAATACCCCAGGCCCTAACAAAGCTATACAAAATTTACCAACTAAAACATATCTGCTAATATATAACTAGCTAGCACAAACAAAACAAGCCTATCAAAGCAGCCACAATCTGTTAGCATACTGGCTGCCATACTGGTAGCAAATCTATTAGCAACAATCTGTTAGCAAAAACTAGCATACTAGTTGCCTCCATAACCAAGCTCAGAAGCACACACAAAAGATGTCAATCAATGTTATGTTCTTCCAGAGCAGCCACGTACACCAAAATACATAAACCAAAAGCTTAAGAAAATAAAATAAGACCCCAAGCACAACCCGCAAGGGAATAGGTAGAAACCTTAGAATATGAGCACAAAATCAGTTGGAATTCAGCTCCATACTTCCTATCCAAATGTGTAGCACCATCAAAATAAAAAGACAACTGTCAAGCGCACTCCATTCATTGAACTGGCCCAGATTGTAGCCTGGTTCAAGATTGCGTTCCCCGTAACTTTATACTTCCAAGTTTCAGCATGACCTGTTAGGACCACCCACATAGATCCAACCAAAGAAAACCAATAGAGTAACGATAGTGAGAAAATCCTCCAATTCAACAAACAATTAAGGTCTTCCTTCACTAGACGCATAATGAAAAAATTCCTGTAATAAGAACCAGCCATAAGTACCTGCATTAAAGTTAGAAAGTTTTTTAAACTAGCTCACTCAACCCACAGCTTAGAGCACTCAATGCACAAAATGCACAAAATATAAGTAACATTGTTATGTAAATACAAAATGCACAAAATATATCCTCTGGATCATGCCTCATGTATTTTTTTTTTTAAAAAAAAATTTGCATATCAATTGAAGCGCATCCAAGTTGTTAAATTTCACAGGTTATATATTGGCGCCTAACATACTTGAATTATTTGAATACAATCAGTAGTAGGGCATCAAAATCTTTACTCCATAGCTACAAGAGGAGCTTTAATGGGTTTGTAGCAAAGCTGACTGAGGAAGAGAAGGAGAAACTAGCCAGTGAGTGAATTATAATCTTCAAATGTTTGCATAAACTACCACTTCTCTCTCTCTCTCTCTCTTTTGTTTTTGTTTTTTGTTTTTTTTTTTTTTTTGTGTGTGTGTTTCTAACGTAATTTTGAACATTCAGGCATGGAAGGCATAGTGTCTGTATTTCCAAATGAAAAGAAGCAGCTTCTAACAACTAGGTCATGGGACTTTATGGGTTTCCCTCAAGAAGTGAAGAGAGTTGGAGTTGAAAGCGACATTATAGTTGGAATGATCGACACTGGAATTTGGCCGGAATCTGATAGCTTCAAAGGTGATGGATTTGGTCCTCCTCCAAGCAAATGGAAGGGCACTTGCCAAGCCTCATCCAATTTCACTTGCAACAAGTAAAATCCATACTCATTTAACATACAGATAGGTCTCATTCGACAAAATTTATTTGCAACTTGTTCAATTTAAATTATAAAATTTGTACTCAAGCAGTTGAACTTCGAAAAATAAGGATATTTGATAAAACTTTTCAAATTTATGACCTTTATTTTATAAAAATAAATAAAATTAGATTAAACAACACAAAGTAAACTCAAAAGACTAGCATTTAAAAGTTGAGTTTGAAATGCTTTTTAAAACTGTAAATATAATAGATGAATTGCTATCAAAAATTGAAATACTTTTGCAGTAAAATTATAGGAGCTAAGTACTACAAAATTGATGGAGATTTTGGTGGAGGAGACATTCAATCACCAAGAGATACATTTGGACATGGCACACACACTGCTTCTACAGCAGCTGGGGGCTTAGTAAGCAATGCCAGCTTATTTGGGTTTGCCTCAGGAATAGCCCGAGGGGCGGTCCCGTCTGCCCGCATCGCCGTGTACAAAGTTTGTTGGCATGATGATTGCAGTGATGTTGATATCCTTGCTGCTTTTGACGATGCGATAGCTGACGGAGTAGATGTAATCTCCATTTCACTGGGAGGGTCCTATCCTTTGGATTACTTTAATGATAGTATTGCCATTGGAGCTTTCCATTCCATGAAGAATGGAATACTCACCTCCAGCGCTGCCGGTAATTCGGGTCCTGGTTCTGCATCAATTAAGAATTTCTCACCTTGGTCTCTCTCAGTTGCTGCTAGCACCATCGATAGAAAGTTTATCACCAATGTAATATTGGGTAACAATATGGTGTATAAGGTGAGCAAGCATGTACTTTTCTATCTATGCATTATACCAAATAATATGTTGGACATATTATGCAGTTTGGTACGATGTCTTTATTTTCAATTTTCGTGTTTTTGGAAACCAAAATAAATAAATAAATAAAAGATTGAAAATATCCATCGTTTTCAACTTTGTGCAAAAAATATTTTCGAAAATTCAATAATTTTTGGTGTTTTTAAAAATAATTAATTTTTTAGATTATCTTTTGGCAACAGTTCACCAAATAAGTTTTGGGTTTACTAGATCTAGAAAATAAAAACAGAAAAGACAACTAGAGAGGTTTTCTTTTTTCGTTTTCATTTTGAATTTTTGGAAACAAAATAATGAAAATTTTTAAACAATTATCATGTTTATATCTCTTTCATTTTTTTTTTTTTTTTTTTTTTTTTTTTTTTTTTTTGAGAAAACAATGTCAATTTTTATTTTTTTAAAAAAATTAGTCTAAGGTTGGCCACTGCTCTTTGGATGTGTTTAATTTTATGGTCCTAAAATTAAGCTCCTTTTACACATATAGGGTGTCTCCATAAATACCTTCAACCTCAACAACAGCATGTATCCTTTAGTTTATGCTGGGGATGTGCCTAATACTCAAGCAGGTTTTAATGGATCTGAATCCAGGTATGCTAAAATATATTTACCAAAAACAATAACGTTACCCATAATGCATGATATCATGAACATTTGAAGATTGAAAGTTCCTTTAAAACAATGAAATTGCAGGAATTGCAGCACAAACTCATTGGATAAAACTTTGGTAAATGGTACAATCATTCTATGTAATCAGTTGATCGGATCCTTGTATGGAGCTGCAATAGATGCCGGTGCCATTGGTATTTTAGTACATGATGATGATTTCCAAGACGATAGTGCCTTTGAATTCTCCTTGCCTGCATCCTTCTTGAACTCGAAAGATGGCAGTGGAGTTTCTCACTACATCAATTCAACTAGGTATATATATGTCAACATTTTCTTGGTATCATTTTAGTTTCCATGTGAAAAAAAGTTTATAACTACTCATAAAACAACTTTAAAGTCTTTCCTAAAACAAAAGGCTTTTTCAAAATATTTTCTCGAGAAAACTTTCTAGAAAAAGTCTGCAAACAAGGGTTTTTATTTACTTATTATATTTGTTAATTAATTTATCGATCAAGATATTGTTACATTTTTTTAATAATTCTAATTATACAGTAAGCCAATGGCAAACATAGCAAAGAGTATTGAAAGTAAAGATGAATTGGCACCATTCGTTGTTTCGTTTTCATCAAGGGGGCCAAACCCCATTACAAGGGATATCCTCAAGGTAATCAATGAAATCATTACTCATTTAAACTTTTTACGTGCACAATCAATGAAATCATTACTCATTAAACATTTTTACGTGCACAAGATTTGATCACAGAATACTAAACCTTAAAGCCTATGTAAAAGGGCTTTTCCCAGTTCTATGATTGAATTATGTGTACTTACACTTTTTCTTCTTGTTTATAATCAACACATCATTTTCTTCATCATTTTTTTTTGGCCACATTTTATTCCAAGGTACAGCCTGATTTAACTGCACCAGGAGTGGAGATTCTTGCTGCATATTCAGAAGCTAGAACTATGTCAGGGAGAGAAGGAGATACAAGAGTGGTTCAATATAATATCGAATCAGGAACGTCCATGGCTTGCCCACATGCTACTGGTGCAGCTGCTTACGTGAAGTCATTCCACCCAGAATGGTCTCCTGCAGCTATTAAGTCCGCTCTAATGACAACTGGTAAATATATACAATAATTTATGAAGCTCGAGAAATTAATTTGAAAATTGATCAAAAAATGAAATAATGTGTACCCTTCAAAGAACTTATGATTATAATAAGCAACTTGAAACAATGAAAAAGCTGCTCAAAATCACTAAAATAATTATTCTAAAAGATATAATGTGGGAAAAATTACAAAAGAAATCTCAAAGTCCGACTCTTATAATAAAACAAACCCTTACTTTTAATTTTATTAATTTAAACCTTATGAAATAATCTATACCATACCCTTCAAAGAACTTATGATTTGAGTATCTTATTATAAGCAACTTGAAAGAATGAAAAAGTGCTTATAATCACTAATTGAATTATTCTAAGTGGTATAAAGTCTTTAGGCAAATTACAACCCCCCAAAAAAAAATATTAAGGTCAAACTCTTATGATAAAATAAATCCTGAGTTTTAATTTTGTCAATTTAAATTTAAATTTTTCAATTTATTTTTAATATAAATCATTTGTCCTTTTTTGTTATGTAAAATTAATGAAAAAAAAAGTATTTTAGCCCACATGTTAGTGTAGCGACCTACGTGAAGTCATTCCATCCAGAATGGTCTCCTGCAGCTATTAAGTCCGCTCTAATGATAACTGATAAATCTACTACAATTTTAAAAGTTTGAAAAAATCAGACAAACCATTGCTTGCTTGGCCATATCAATCTATACTATATACTATTTACTATCTACCTCCTATTATTATTATTATTATTATTATTATTATTATTATCTAAACTACTATCTACCTATTATTATTATTATTATTATTATCTTTCTATCTAAACTACTTCAGAAAAAAACGGAATCCCCTTATTATTTTCTACTTATTTCCCAATTTCCAAAATACCCTTCGTCACATAAATTTGCATCAACAGGCATATATCCCATCTTCGACCGTTACCTGGATTACCAATCATTTTCTGCACTAATCAACACACTAGTCCCGTTTGGTAGAGCTGTGAAAAAGTAATTATAAATTATAACTTAACAAATTATGACTTATAACTGAACATAAACTATTAACCTGTATGGTGCAACTGTGGGATTATGAATTTAAGCAGCAGAGTAATGTTTGGTTAATAAGCTATAAAATAGTTTTTTACTGTATAATTATTATTTCTACCCTTATATGATATAAAAATGATTATTTTGTCATTTTTTTCAATTTTAATTTTTTTAAAAAAATATTTCATTAATAAAAGTTAATATAAGTAGTATTAATTAGTATCAATTAATATAAAAATTGATATATTTGCTAAAAATGTAATGGAAGTATTATTGTCACAATTATTTTCCATTATAAATTAATTAGTATCAATTAATTGCTTAATATGAATTTATTAATAATTAATACCAATTAATATTTATTTTTCAATTAATATTGATTTTTTTCTTTTTCTTCAAAAATATACATTTTTTTATTTTTTAATTAATATAAAAATATACAATATGAATTTATTAATAATTAATACCAATTAATATTTATTTTTCAATTAATATTGATTTTTTTCTTTTTCTTCAGAAATATAAAATTTTTTATTTTTTAATTAATATTAATTAATAATATTAATATTCGGGTATTGACGAGGGCATTTAAGTAATTTTAGCCCCCCAACACTAGTTGCGCGCTTAAGTCAAAAATTTAAGCAACCCCTGATCAGCTTTTGAGATAAGTTGAAAAATAGCTTGATTTAAGGTATAAGCTGGTTAACTTAAGTTGCACCAAACACAATATTTTAGCTTAAATTAAGTTAAAAGCTGAAATAAGCAGCTTATAAACTCTACCAAACAGGCCTACGATTCTGCACTATAAACAAACCCAACAACACTCAAGCCGTTAAGATTACATTCTATTTTAATTTATATTTTAATTGATAAAAATTATAGTCATTAAACCTACTTTTTTAGAGGGGAGTAAATATACTTAATTGATTTTAATTTGATCAACTACTACCAAATACCAAATAACCACCACCAATTCTTGTTAATTGAATGTTGTTAAACATGGATTCTTAAAAGTTAAATTTTTGTTCTATTTTTAAAATGTAAATATATTTACATATATAAATACAAATTAAGTAAATTTTGCATTTAAATTTTAAATTTCAAATTAAAAGTTGTTGTATGATTATAATAATAATAATAATAATAATAATAATAATTAAAAGTTGTACAGTTAAAGGACAATATTTTGAATTGAATAGGTGTTTGTTTAAATTTAAATGGTTTGCATTTAAATCAAACCATTGCATTATGAACAAAAGTCATGAAAAGTCTTATATAAGTCAATTTTTTTTCTTCTTCTTAACATTAACATTAACATTTATTTATTTAATACTTAAAACGATCAATTTCCTATTCCTCTACTTCCAAAAGTCCTATAACAAACTTATCTCCCTATTTTTTGAATTGATGATTGAACTATAAAATCTTTCTTATTTTCTCTATCTACTTCCATATTGTCGTACATATTATTCACAATTGTCTATTATGGATTAAACCGCTATGAATATTTTGTGAATATTTTGGGTTGGAATTATGTTCATTTGTTCGAATCTACACATAAATGTTGTGAATATTTTGAGTTGAATCTTAAAGTTGAATGCATCTATTCGAATCTACATAGAGGGAGATGCATTGGGTTTCGTACTATATCTCAGGAATTCGCAAGTTATTTTTATACACTTTCTCTTTGTTTATATTTTTAGAATTGTATTATTTTGTATGGTACTTTAATAACCTATGTATACTGTCAAAATTCTAAATAACAACCACTTTCTTTAGTTTAATTTTGAAAATTGTTTTTTTATTTTGAGTTCTTCATATTTTTGATTGATTTTCATTTCATATATTTTTCATTCTTAATGATTAGTGATAATGAAATTTCTTCATATATAATACTTTTTAGAATCATCCCAATAAGTCTAAATGCACAAAATATCAAAGATGAAATGTGATAAAGATGTCTTACAAAGAGGGGGACTTACATAATATGGAACTTTATATATAAAGAGTAAAACTCGGCTTGGTGTGAACTTTATCACATTTTTTAAAGTTCTTAAATTTTTCTTGTGTAACAACTTTAAATTTTGATAATTTCTTCAGTTTTCTTTTTTTCTACATATATATATATTTTTTATCGATAAGTAAAAAAAAAAATCTCCATTTACATTTGGCTGGTTGATTTAAAAGCTATGATACATAACTTTATACCATGTTTAAACACACAATTTTAGATATTTATGTTCAAATTCCATGCATTTTGCCTATATTTTGATTATGTAATGTACACAGCTGCACATAAGTTAATTCACACCTTTTTTTTTTTTCATTTTTTTTTTTTTTTTTTTGTGTGTGTGTGTGCGCGCGCGCGCTCGCATGCATGCATGATATATATATATATATGTTTTCTCAAGACTATCTGCAATATTGCAATAAAGAAAATCGCTCCATAATTTTGATTGTATTTAATTTATATTTTTTGTTTTGCCTAACTTTAATTTCATTTTCTAAAGATATACATGCAGATATTATCCCGCAGAAATTGATCTCAAATTTTCTTAAACTTCTACTTAAATTTATGAACACTACCTACTACAATTGGTGAAAAAATGAATTAGACCAAAATAGCCACGTGCAATGCACATGTGCTTTAACTAGTATATACAATAATCTACAAAGCTCATAAAATTAATTTGAAAATTGATCGCAAAATGAAATAATCTATACCCTTCAAAGAACTTATGGCCATATTTGGTTTGTTTTTGAGAAATAAATTTTGGAGAAAATTTTCTAAAATTTTGTTTGGTTTAGGGATTTTGGAAACCACTTTCTATCTCCTACACATCAATCAATCATTTTTTCTCTCTCATCTCTCATTCTCAATCACTTTTTCTCTCACACACATCTACTTAATTACAACAAAATATCAAATCATCTCAAACTCCCACACTCCAAAACTATTTCCAAAATATACAATCAAACAAACCAAAAAAAATTCTAAACTCTTTCTTCAAGACTTTTTTTGAAAATTTATTTCCCAAAACCAAGTCAAACACAAATGTTGGGTCTCTTATAATAAGCAACTTGAAAGAATAAAAAAGTTGCTCAAAACCACTGATTGAATTATTCTAAAAGATATAATGTCTTTGGAAAAATTATAAAAAATAAAAATAAAATAAAATAAAAAACTCAAGATCTAACTTTTATAATAAAATAAATCATGAATTTTAATTTTGTTAATTTAAATCCTATGAAATAATCTATCCCATGCCCTTCAAAGAACTTATGATCTTGGGTATCTTATAACAAGCAACTTGGAAGAATGAAAAATTTGCTCAAAACCACTAATTTGTGAGACGACCCCGCTACGTAGCTCGAAAGAGTTTGGCTCGACACCAAAACGACGTCGTTTTGGTGTCTTTTTTTTTTTTTCTTGCGTTTTTGTTGCAAAAGGAAGAAGAAGAAGAAGGGTGGAGAAGAAGAGAAGGAGAAGAGAAGGGAGGAGGAGGAGGAGGAAGGAGGAGGACTGGAGGGGACATAATCACAAGGGGAGGAGGAGGCGGAGGCGGGGCCGGAGGCGACGGCGGTGGTATTGCAACGATCGGCGGCGGCGAGGCGACGGCGGTGGTGCTGCGACGATCTCCTCTCCTCCTCTCTCTTTCTCCCTCTCTCCTCCTCTTTCTCTTCTCCTCTCTTCTTCCTCTCCTCTCTTCCCCTTTCTCCTCTGTCTCTGTCTTCGAATTCAAATTCGAGCCAAAATCGAGTCACTTTTTTCGAGCTACCAGTCATTTTCGTTTGTGAGACAAAATATTTTGCCTTTTAACATTCAAAGCAATAAAATAAATAAACAAATAAATAAAAAGTAGAAAAGTTTTACCTAAGTAGAGGTGACAACATTGCATTTGTCTTGATAGAAGATGACAATGCACTCCTTTGGCATAAGCTAAACGGAATTTTTTGACTAAAATATTCATAAAAAGATAAAATGAATTTTTTAATCTAATAAAATAAAATATTATATTTAAATCATAATTATTTCATTTTTTCGTCTCACAAAAGTCAAAAAATCAAAAAGTCTATCCTAAACGAGACTTTTTAACTCTCAGCTAAATTAGCCAACAAGTCAAAAACTTAACCCATATCTCAAACGAACCCATTGTATTTTATGTACTTTTCTAAAAATTAAAAATAAAATAAAATAAAAATTATGTCCTTACATTGATTGGCCTCCAAAATTATCATCCCATTATAAAAATCTCTTGAAATATTTGGGACTCATCAATTTAAATTTAAAAAAAAAATACACAATTTTACCAAAAAGGAAGATACAAGTTTTGGTTTATTTCTTTATGAACTCAGTCTAACACACCTTGACAAATTGTTCTACCATACATCCATTACTATTGCAACTCAAAGGACTTACCTTTCTCTTTTTGCTCTCCATAGCTTCTCTCATGAGTGCAGAGACTAACAGTGATGCCGAGTTCGCATACGGGGCAGGCCATATAAATCCTGTAAAAGCTGCAAATCCTGGTTTAATTTATGATATCGAAGAGGCAGAGTATGTGAGGTTTTTATGTGGACAAGGATATAGCAACAAGTTATTACGTCTTATTACCGGAGATAATAGCAGTACTTGCAATGAAGTCAACAATGGAACCGTTTGGGATCTTAATATGCCTTCTTTTGCATTATCTACCCAGCGTGGTAAACCCATCACTCGTATGTTCCACAGGACTGTCACCAATGTTGGCTCACCGGTGTCCACTTACAAGGCAACTGTGGTGGCTCCACCGGGACTTGAGGTTGGAGTTGAGCCGAGTGTTCTTACATTCAAAGCTCTAGGGCAGAAGCAATCTTTCATCGTGACGATCCGTGGCACCATAAACAAAACTGTGCTCTCGGGTTCTTTGGTGTGGAATGATGGGGTGTACCAAGTTAGATGCCCCTTAGTCGCTTCTTCTTAATTAAGTTTTAATTAATATGTTTGCACCATAGTTTTCTGCAAGTGTGTAAATATGTTGTTTTTGGCAAAATGAAAAGGAAATAAAATGGTGTAACCTGCACAAGAAACTCATCGGTTAAAAGAGAAAACCATGGTGCAAATGGTAAAATCAGAAGTTTTGGATTCAAATTTTACTAATGTTTCATAGAACTAATTGATACATTATTTCCGAATGATTGTAGATATATGGAATTTTCTAGTCATAATAATAAATAAATAAGGGCAAATTATATTTTTAAGTTGAATTCTAATTTGATTATTCTATTTAAATTTGATGTTTTAACAAATTTGTAAGAACGAAAGTAAAATTTTATTTAAACTATTGGATAGAAAGTATAATTTATTCAATAAATAAAATAAACATGTTTTATTTTTATTTTTATTTATTTTTTTCTTTCCTTATGGTGAAAGTTTGTCTTTGTAATGTAAGTAGGTGCGGAGACAAAAAAAAGGCCCAGAGACGTCACGTGCTACTCCTCAATTTTGATTTTTTTTGGGTTTTGTTTTGTTGTCATATACAAAATGTATCTTTTTTTTTTTTTCTTAACATTTTTTTTGGCTAAAGAATTATTGTATTGTTTATAATAAGTAATTATTTGATACTTTGAGAGTACTATGTGATATTGTTTATGTAGTAGTCTAAACCAATAGTGCAGTGAAAAACCTTATGAATTGAATATATTAACTCATTATTTTCAGGTAGTTAACAAACTATGTGATTTCTTATGCTTTGAACATCACATAGGGAACGTCATACGGTACTCTAAGACTATGTAATAATTTTCATTCAAAACATATCATTTATAAGCAATATCATCTCTTTAATATTTTCTGTCAAATAAAAATTAAATATATTTTATAATAATTTGTGCTATAAATTTTTTTTCTAAAATTAGGAATTTTGATCCATAATTTTTTGTGCTAAAATTACAAACTTACATCACCATCCCGTACTGAGCTATTACACACTATTTTAAAATTTTGATTTGTTCATATTAATAATAATTTTTAATTTCTTATGCTTAAATTTAACTCATAAAATTATTGTTATCTTAATGTTGATCATATTTTTTTTAAATAAAAAATTGTAATTAATAAGTGCACCCTCTAACTTAATTTCCTTACTCCGCCATTGAATGCAAGCACACTTCAACAATTTTTATCACAATTTGTTTTGTAATTTTTTTTTTTTTTTTTATCGACAAAAGAAATCTATATTGATGAAAAGAAGATTACATCAATAAAGAAAAACTTGGAGCTAACAAAAGCTCCAAGCTCCAGTTGGTGAGAAACCAACAGAGCACATCAAAAAACAACAAGTCAATCAACAAAACAAAACAGAAAAAATAGAACCAGAGAAGCACTAAAAGCAGTGATGCCACCATAGCTAGACAAAGCAGTTGAAGCTTCCACAAAACACACCTCAAACATCTCGAACAGATAGCCTAATCTTATGCAAATTAGAGACAAGATCATGGACAGAGTAATCAACCTGCAATACCCATTTGGCCCACAAAGCAATATGCACCTTAATTCTTTCACATAAGTCTTTAACAGCAGGTTGAGTCCCCTTGAATGTACAATCATTTCTTAATTTCCATACATACCAGAGAACCACAGGCGGAACTACCTGCTAAATTCTGGATTCCCTTGACTTGAACTTACCTCTAGACCACCAACACAGCAGCCCCTGAACTGATCTAGGTATAACCCATACCAATTCCCACCACCTTACCATTATTGATCAGCACTCCCAGATCAGTAAACAAAAAAGTAACACATGTTCCAAAGTTTTCTCCTCAGCATTGCAGAACACACAAGAAGAACTAGTAGTAACAACTAAGACCCCAATCCTTTTTAGGAAATATGAAGTCTTCACCCTATCCCTCCAAGCCAACCAACAAAAGAATTGCATTTTTTGGGGACCAGAATTTACCCATAACCCTACAGGAACATTCAAACTAGGTCCTTTTGCTGTCACCCACCACTTCCACACAGAGAATACTGAAAACTGACCTAAGTTGTTAGTTAACCGTGAGCAAGAATCTTCAATATCAGACTTAATTGCAGGGGATGATGCCAGCAGCCTTAACAACCTCTGCAGCTCCTCTTCTTCCCAAGCAAATAGCCTTCTTCTGAACTGTAACTGCCACACCCCTGCATTGGTCTTCTTAGCACTAATTTGATGCAGAGTTTCCTTTTTCTCAGTAGATAAGTGATGTAATCTGGGGAACTCAACCTTCAACCCTCTGCTACATACCCAGCCATCAGACCAGAAATGTATTCTCCTCTCATTACCAACAGATACTTTAAAATAACCATCATAAAATTCTCTCAGGTGCTGGTTGACTAAAGGCAACTTCATAATGTCTTGCCAAATATTAGACATCCCACCTGTGTGAATCACAAATGGCATCCAACCCCCACCAATTATGCCATACCTAAAGCATAATACAGATTTCCACAAAGCTTTGTCTTCATTTCCATACCTCCACCACCACTTTAACAGCAAGCAGCCATTCACCTCTCCTAAGTCTCTCACACCTAAACCTCCTTGCCATTTACTTTTGGTTGCCTCCCTCTATTGGACCAAGTGCACTTTCTTCTTATTTTCTGACCCTCCCCACAAAAAAGAGGACTGAAGTTTCACTATCGTCCTTACAACCCCCTTAGGCATCCTGCATAATGAAAGGAAATAGATGGGCAAATTTGAGAGAACAAATTTAATCAAAGACAATCTACCTGCGAAAGATAACAACTTCCTCTTGTAGGAGGATAGCTTCTTCTTCACTTTTTTTATTACTGGAACCCAAGTACTCTTCCTTCTTGGATTGGCCCCCAAAGGCAGACCTAAGAAGTTAAAAGGCAGTTTCTTAGTCAGACAATTCAAAGTCTGAGCAAACTCCTTAGTTTGGTCCTCTTGAAAGCCCACACCACAAACAACACTCTTGTGGTAGTTGATCTTCAGCCTAGACATCACCTCAAAGCACCTCAACACTTTTTTATTATTCAGCACCTCCTCCAAATCACCCTTATAGAAAATGATGGTATCATCTGCAAATTGGAAATGAGATATAGTCAACTCTTCAGAACCAACTATGGCACCTTGAAATAAACCTTTCTCAGTAGCCCTCCCCAATAACAAATTAAGTGCTTCAGCTGTTATGATGAACAAGAAATGTGCTTCAGCTGCTATGATGAATAAACCTTAGCCCCTTTTGTAATTGAAATTCCTTAGTGGGTGCACCATTTACCAAGACAGAAATCTTAGCAGTTGAAATACAAGTCTTCATCCAACTAATCCATTGTTCACCAAATCCAAAGTTTCTCATCATAAATACTAGAAACTCCTAATTTATTGAGTCATATGCTTTCTCAAAATCTAACTTGAGTATAATCCCATTCTTCTTAGATCTCTTCCATCCATCTACTACCTCATTTGCTATTAACACCCCATCTAGGATGTACCTTCCACAAACAAAGGCAGACTGAACCTCACTTATCACAGTTGGAAGAACCCTCTTAAGTCTTCTAGATAACACCTTGGCCAAGATTTTATAGACTGAACTGACCAATCTAATTGGTCTATTGTCCTCCAATCCTATAGGATTGTCCTTCTTAGGGATAAGAACAATAAATGAATTGTTAATCCCTCTTGACAACTTACCATTGGTGTGAAACTCATGGATCAACTGAATTATTTCCCTTTTCATTATTTTCCAATAACTTTGAATGCAGGCCAGGTTAAAACCATTAGGACCAGGGGCCTTGTTCCCATCACAGTCTTGGATTACTTCCCAAATCTCAACTTCAGTAAATATATCTTCCAAACTCACTGCTGCCTCAAGGCTAATAGTGGCAAAAAGGCTTGACATTTTTGGCCTTTGAATCCATTGCTCAAAAAATTGCTGACTAAAGTGCCTAACCACCTCTTGTTTCACCAGCACTGGATCCTCTAACCTCACACCCTCCACCAAAACTAAGTCTAATATATTCTTTCTATGCTTACTGCTTGCCATAGTATGAAAGGCTCTGTTTGGAAGGATTTTCAAATCCTGATTCTACCCCCATATTGGAACATCATGTTTGGATAGAGTTTTGGAACTAGTTTTCCACAATAAACACAAAACTTTGCAGAAAACTCTCTGTAAAAAGCGATTTTCGAATTTTTTTTTTTGAAATTTGGCCTAACCGATTGTCCCACCGGATGTCCTACCGGACATCCCACCAGTCGTCCGGCCGGTTGACCGGAACAGTGCATTTTTTTTTTTTTTGCAATTGATATGTTAATTTTTAAATATTCGAAAAAAATATTTTTTGAATTTTTTAAAAAAATTTTATGTGCTTTAATAGAATTTTGAGTTGTATGTTTAGTTATGAGTTATAAGTTTTTGTATCAAATATCAAATGTCACATCAAAAATTCCCTACTCAATTCAAAACTCTTTTCAAAACTATTTTCAAAACTCTTTCACCAAACAAATTTTCCACACTCAAATCATAATTCCAAAACTCACAAACTCAAAATACAACTCATATTCTCAAATCATAATTAGCAAGCTCTACCAAGCGCAACCCTTGTATTTCTATCCCCAAATCTAACCCACTGCATCCTGGATTTTTGGTGCCACAACCTCTCCTTGTTTCTGTTGAGCTGCCATACCTCGGATCTGACTTCTCTTCTTCTTTTAATTTCCAAAACAGTCAAGGACCTGGATTCAACCTTTAGATCCCACTCATATAGCTCCTCCTCAGTTGATTTTAGTAGGGTGTCTATGTCGCCAAACACTTCCTAATTCCATACCCTCAAATGATTCCTCAAAATGTTCAACTTTCTCATGACTCTATACCCTGCCCAACCTTGCACTTGTGTGTCCTCCCACCTCTTTTTGACTTCAGACATGAAGGTAGGGTGTGATCTCCAAGCATTAATGAATTTAAAGGGCTTAGGACCCCAATCCCTATCATCCTCTTTTAGCAATATTGGACAATGGTCTGAAACTGTTCTAAATAAACCCCATTGTTTTATGGCAAACTTCTCCAACCCTGTTGGATCTACCAGAAATCTATCTATCCTACTCCACCTATCTCATTCCACTGCATTACACCATGTGTATTGTCTGCCTAGCATAAGCATGTCAATGAATTTCAACTTTTCTATAAACTCATTAAAATCTGACATTTCTCTCTCTCTTCTAGAGCAGGCCTTTCTCTCACTCGTATATCTGATTTCATTAAAGTCCCCTCCCACACACCAAGGTAATGGAAAGTGTTGTTTAATACTCTCCAAAGATTCCTAGATCTGTCTCCTCCTCACAACCTCATTTGGAGCATAAATATTAACAATAACACATGGAAAAGAACTACAAGCTATACCTGAAACTTAAAAACCTGAGGTTTCCAAACACATAATAGACCACCAGCACTTCCATCTGAGTCTATCAACATAAACTCCATCTCCTCAGAGGGCCAGATTGTTATGACAAATCTGTCATCCATTGAGCTTCTTTTAGTTTCTTGGATTAACAATACATCTATATCCCTTTCCCTTACTAGATTCTTTATTTTCCCCCTTTTTTCTGGCCTTCTCAGCCCTCTAACATTCCATGATAAGATCTTCATAATAATCATCACAACTTACATCTTAACCCCCTTTTTAGCAACCAACTAGGATATGGTTGCAGCTGCTTCAACTGCAATTCTTCTTAAATCATTCTCTTCCAATTCTACTATTTTGCTCACTACCTCCTCCTTTTGGCCTTGACACTGCATTCCCAGCAATGCTCCAGCCTTTACTGTTGACTGAGCCTTCTCAACTAGATTACTCATTCTTCTCAAGGTTTGATTTTGAGAGATAGACAATAAATTGGTTGCAGCCACTACTGAAGCTCTGAAGATGACCCCTCTCTGAAAACCAAGCCTACCCATCCTGCTTTTTTGTTTCATATGGCCTCCAACTATATTGATGCCCCTCCTTTGATCACTGCCCTTTTTCCCTGAATTACACCCTCTCTTTGTTGCTGCTTCCTTGAATTTTCTTCCTTGACCAGCCATATTTACCACAGCCATATGGATGGTTTGGACCAGAGTTGGTCTAATTTGGGTCTGGGCCACATAGTCACTGAGATTCGACCCCACCCCCTTATTTGGCCCACTGGACTTAGGCCCAACCTGCATGCCTTCAAGTAGAACTTCTAGACTTATATTAGTCCTTGCACCCACTGGCCCACTCAGCACTTTTAAAAAACCCACATTACGTATATACTCATCCAACTCATGAGTTTTATTCATCATTGCTACTATGAATTAACTTCCTGCACCAGCCCCTTCTCCCTAGAGCATGCACCTGCTAGGTCAATCCTCATGCCCCTGCTAGGTCAGTCCCCATGCCGCCCTCTCTAACAACTGCACCTGCTAGGTCATTCCCCATGCCACCGTCTCTAACAATTACATCTAATGCATGCTTACCATCATTTCCTTTAACCTGCTCATCTGATCTGGCCATCACTGTTTCCAATACCCTACTAACATCATCACACCCATCTACACCCCTCCTCTTCTTTGTCTGAAGAAGCTTGCTCTGCAATCTTGCAATTACCACCATTGTCGGACATTTGATCTGCCCCTCCTTTTGCATTAGAGTGCAATTGCTCATATTGCATACTTCTGCTACTACTTAGATTCGGGAGTAAACAACTATGGACTTCTTCAAAGACTCTAACTGGAATGTGCTTACCTTTGTGCTCCAAAAATATTGTCACATTGATCATCTCCATACACTTTGTCATCACTCTTACCTTAGCTTGCTGGAAAGTTTATGGTTTATTAATATCTTCTTCGAGCTGAACTACCACCCCCAATGACTACCAATGTTTCGAATAGTTGTAACACTCCAGAGATTTATGGGGATGCCAAAACAATTCAACCAGACGCACCTCTCTTGCTCCACAAATTGACATATCCCCCATTCTTCAATTGAATCACACCATTGCCTTCCCCACCCTTCTAATTGTTCCTTCCCAACTTGCATGTGTTGTGCTGAGGGAAAGGTTAACAGAACTATGCGCCTAGCCCCCTCTCTTGCAACCACATCCTGCATCCCTCTTTTACAGAGTTCTACTCTAAAGTCCTTAAAAGCTAAAAAGCTGCTTAGCTGTACTATTAAGCTTTCATACCACCAACCATTGCTTTCTTCATTAGCTTTTATTACCACCTGCGCACCCACTCTGGCACTTCCCCTAGCTATTGCCTCCGTATAAGTCTTCTTAACTCCAATTCCCAGCCCCTACTACATCTGGAGCCCCTGATTCATCATTCTCCCATCTTCGCCTCTGTTCTACCCTTTTTGCTCCGATTGACCAGCTCTTTGAGGTTTTTGAAACTCTGCTCTTTTGACCCACAGTTCCTTGTTATCACACCACAGCCCGTCTGCCTTCTGGATCGCTATCCCTGCCGCTACCTCGCAATCATATCTTACAAACCTAAGTCTTGATCTTGATGCTTTCCTTCTCTTTCTTGAAATAAACACATCCTTCACTAAGCCAAACATCCGAAATAGGTTGAACAATCCTTTAGGACCCATGGAATCTAGAATGTTATCTACGAATATAGTAACAATCATTGCCTCCTTCCAAAATCTATGCTGGTTACCCACTTTTCTCCTCTGTATTATTGGGTTCCAACCTCCTCTCTCCATTGACGAAAGTCTTAGACCAGCTCCGGATTTTCTAACTATATTTGGACGTGTGCAGTGCTAGTCATAATGTTTGTTTTGTAATTAACAGAGTTCATTTATAGTGCGTGTCACGCCACTGTATAATGAACAAAATATAATATGAAAATGAGAGTCTAGGCTTCACCAAAAACTTTCATGAAAGGAAAATTATCACAAACCTTTTTGAAAAAGTATCTAGTGTACCACGTGTGGTTTGTAGAATCATAAGAAAAAAACCCGAAGTCCTTTAAATTTTGATAAAGTACAAAACAGCCCAATGAAAATGTTTTCATAGGATAATTTTAATTTTGTATTTTCTCTCATTAGACCCTCACACTACAAGATAACAAACTTTTCATAAAAGGCAAATTATAAATATATCTTTTGAAATTTATTTTAAATACATATAGTTTCTTGTAATTTAGAAAATTATAAATATTTCCTTAATAAAATTTTTTATTTAACATAATTAAATGAAAAAATAAAATTTCTAATTGTTCTCCTATAAAATGATAAAATTATCTAAATTATTAATTGAAATAAATCTGTGACATAATTAAAAAATATTAATTGACTTGGTGATATATTAATAAAATGAACAATTTGTTATGAAATTAGAAATTTCAAGAGACAAGATGTAATTTTCAAAATCACATAAGACAAATTATATTTCAAGAAAACTTCAAAAAAACGTATTAAATTATTTAAACTAAAAGAGAACAAAAACAGGCATTCATAGTGGTATCTCTATTATGTCTAATGCATTAGGTCTGTGTCGCTCCACCATTTTGGCTTTATCTATTATGTGAGTTATTTTGTTTTGTCTTCCACTTGCAAGATTTATGTTCATTTGTCATATGTGAATATCTCCATCTCTTGCATGATTTGGGTTTCGCTTTTGATCTTATATAGCTCCCGAATAGGTGAAGAAATATCTGGTGTTTTAATTATTTCTTCATTAAGAATTCGGAACATTTCGTATGTCCTATCATGTCCTAATTTGAAGGGTTTTTTTATATTTTTATATTTTATTTATAAAAGGGTATGGACTACGTTTCATATAACCAGAGTCCAGAGTATAATTTTATAAGTTAGCAAAAGTACTCTTCTCTGTCTTTCTTGTAATCTCTGGAGAATTCAAGTACTTAATAGAAGTTTATTTTTTGTATTTTTATAAACACTTTTCTTATTGTTTTTTTAATTTTCTGAAGGCCTTAGAATAGTGATATAAGATAAGGAGCTTAACCAAAACAACCAAAGTAGAGGAAAGCTGAGCCACAACAATCACACGCATTCAGCTCAACTA